TTTTCCAAAAAATGGAATCTCAGAAAGTTTGAAGCCAATCGGAGTCGATTTACAGGTACCTCCTCTACAAAAGTGTAAATTTTTTGAGGTTTTTCTAAAGGCAAGTACCCCAGGGTCAAATCGAAAATGGCGCATCTTCGAACTTAAACTAAGTTTTTTGGTACAAAACTTTTGGCATTTCCAGATTTTGATTATCTCAATTATTTTTTGAGTTATCTTGTTAACAAACACCAACGACGACGACAACGACGACGACGGCACACGAACGGAAAAGTGTCTCAAAAACGTGTTTTCTACGCGTTTCGTGAGTTTTCATGATGATCTAAGCTAATTTTGCGAAAAAAGTTTTCGGGACCTATTCTTGACACGTTGTGTACGGAAAAGTAAAATATTCGAAAATATGTCATACAATTGACACCCTACCAGTAAAAAGACAACTTATGAACTCTTTTTCCAAAAATGACATGGAAAATCTTTACCGCAAAATAGAAACAAATAAATCTCCGAGCAAAAGAGAAACAACTCAAACTCAGAGCAACAGTGAGATAACTCACTGTTTTGTTTTTGCGCTAAGGTTTGTGCTGTCTCTTTGTTCCACTCATTATTGAGTTGTTTTCTTTTCACTGTGTCGCCTGTTTTGTTTTGTTTATACTTGTCCACCAAGCGAGTGTCAGTTTCACTGGCATGACATTTATGTGTCTGTGTCACACAAAACCGAAAATGCCCATTTATTCGTTCAACGCACAAATTCTCTTCGATTTGTTTATTGTAAACAATCGGTTCTCGGAAAGAGATACCGTTAAGTACACACTCACTCTCTCGTGCTATCCTTTTTCTTGTTCGTTCGACAAGTGCAACATCAGATCGAGTAGACTTTGTTTCACGGACAGTTTTTATTGTTATTTCAATAATAAATTAGTGCGTTATTGGGATTTGAATCGGCATAATGTCTGATCGTAACAGCACAGCTGAGGCAGAAGAGAGGCAAGAAAAGAAAGGTTTGTTTCGTAAATTTATCGTCGTGATTTTCGATTATTGTTCAATATTAATTGGAAATTTATTTTCCATAGCGTTGTTGCGCCCGAAAAAAAGAATTTGTAAGCCACATTTGCACAAAAAATCGATTGCCAAGGACACAGTTGAACGTGGTTTGGAACATGTGACGCGGTCGGGAAAAATTAAGAAAGCTAAAGTCTTCGAATCTCAAATAATAAATACACAAATAAGTCATTCACGCAGCACACAACGAAAATAAGAGACACAATGAAAAAAGAAGACGAAACAAAACTGAGCAAAAAAGAGGGATACCTCAACGCTTAGCGCAAAAACGACACAAATGAGTGTTTGCTTCTTGCTGCTTGTTGTTATTCGTTTCTTTTTTGCTCGGAGTCACGCAACTTAAAATTCATCTAAAATTTCAATATTTCTCTCTTTTCTCTCACATTCTCTGGGATTCACCAAAATCCGTATTATTTCGAAATATTTCAACATTCACCTTGAAAATTATGTTCTGGAAGTGAGTTTTGGAGGATCCTCAGGATCGTTCAAAACTGCTCCCGGTTCTGGAAGTGGGTTTTGGTGGATCTTCAGGATGGATCAGACTGGGTTTGACGATGCCCTGGTCCATCCCGAGGATCCACTTCTAGAACCAGGAGCAGTTTTGAACAATCCTGAGGATCCACCAAAACCCACTTCCAGAATTTTCAGATTCAAAAAATTCTTAGATATCCCAGTTTATAAATAAAAAGAAGCAATATCTATAGTTTACACATAAAATGGTTTTATTTCCAGCTATTTAGTAAAATCTTCGGCCTTCGAGTTTGCGTGAAACCCCTAGGTCTGTATTGTGTCGATTTTGCTCTGAGTGAATTTATGTACATCGTTTATTCACGAAGAAAAATTCCACTGCTCTTACTCTCGCGGTCGGTAGAAGTTGTTCTTTTACTAGTAGCGTGTCATTAAATATATATCATAGAATTTATTGACATGAGGGCTTCAAAATGAGGGCCTCTTGATGAGGCATACACACCAACACGAACAAATGTATCTGCATTGAGTATCTATATATTGTATATGCAATATGCAATATGCATACTTGCCTATGATTGACTATGATTGAATAATATATTCATATATTGGTATATTAATAAACACCAATTTCTTGCGGGCACCATTATATTATACGGAAAATTTGTATGTGTCTTTGCATGCATGAACATGTTCATACTTGTAATCCCGTGATATTTGTGCTTTGCTTCATACTCATGATTTGGTGCTGAATGAGAACAAAGTTTCAACTCTGTACGCCGAAATGGTATGCTATGCGAACTATACAATAAGGAAAATTTTATATTATATCTAAACTCCGCCAGTGCTTCAGCGTGTGAGTGTGAGTTGTGACCAGCAAGACGAACGAATGTATTAGTATTGAATGGACACAGCGATCCAACAAGTTACATATACCGTATGTGGCATATACTATATGCACGCGAACCGAGTAAGTCGCATTTGCTTTCATTGCTGTCGATCAACAATAAGTTACTGTGAATAAACCTTTCAAAAAAAAAACCGCTGAACCTTGGTTGGATTTAATTTGTTTGTTGTGCGTGTAAAAACGAAAAGTGTCAAAATGCGTCGGCCGAATTTTGGGAACCTGAAGGAGCACATTTTTCCACTGTCTGAAGAGAAATCGGATTTCAACTTGGCGAAGTTGGAATGGAAATTGGATCACATTGTCATAACAACTGATTTTGGACAATGCCCGTGCTCACAGCCCATCAAAGAGCATTGCTTTATAAAGAACAAGAAAAATGGGAATGTGACTCATGTTGGCAACATTTGTGTGAAGCGGTTCATGGACATCGATGCCAGGAAGCTATTCAATGGATTGAGGAAAATACGGAATAATCCGGAAGCGCCACCAAATCGCGATCTCATCGAATATGCCTTCCGACGTGGTCATTTGTACGGTGACAATGAATACACATTCCTACGTAATGTTGTGAATAAAAGACGACTCTCCGAGAAACAAAAACAATGGCTTCACTTTATCAATCGTCGTATACTCGAAAAAATTGTTGTTAAAAAATTGCCGGGCCAAGACGATTTGGATGACATAGACAATGTTATTGTGGTCTATGATCAAGGCGATAACGAGATTGAATATGAAAGCGACCAAAATGGGAGTGGCGATGATTATGATCAACAAACCGATAACGATATGACAAGCGACTCGGGAAATGACAGTGACTATCAATTGGATGAGAATGAAATCGAAGAATCTGATGACGATATGGAAACGGCTGAAGCAAGCACCAGTGACAGTGACAGTGAAAATGACTCTGAAAACTCTTACGATTTCGAGATGAGTGAAGAAGAGAGGGCAAACGAAGCTCTACGCAATAGTGAAGATGATGATGAAATTAGCGACGAAAATTATGAAACAACCGATAACGAATCTGCTCATACAAACGATTCCGACAGCGATGATCACACAGTACCAGATAGTGACAGCGATAACGATTAAAAACGTTCACTATATACGTATATTTTGTTCAATGAATCTAATGCAAATCATTAGAACAGTGCAATTTCCAGTTCATACGCATCTTTATGGATGCAACTATCTTAATACAAATGCAATTTGTAATATTGTTTTTTTTTCTTCTTTTGAATAAACGAATTGACAGATTTTTTTATTTTAATCAAGAAACGCATTTAAGTTTATTGTCCGGATATTTGTCTCTCTATTGAAAAACACAGTTTCAGCTCTGCGTGGCAGAATAAAAACTCCTAATGGTATGCTATGCGGGCTATTGACTATAGAGTAATTTCTAACGCAGGTGCAACAAGCGTGTCAGCGCTTAGACGTGCGAGTGGACCAAGCTCCATAGCATAGCGTGTGAGTGAATAAAGAAGGACTATATACGAACATGAAAACATGCCATGAGTACGTTCCAGTAGCCGGCTACAGAATTGTGCATGTTTGTACAGAGTTTATGCACGCTATGAGTATGATATAAATTTTATTGGAACCTTCTCGAATGAACATTTGAACATTTGAACGAAGGCACGAAGCGTGACAAGTGCAAGGGGACCCTCTCAGTATGCAAGTGGATTTATCCGAGTTAAGACACATCAAACGTTAGAGAACAAAAAAATCGTGTTGAGTCATATTGTGAAATTCGACACAATCGAGATTCTGAAATGGATACTAAAGGTGAAAATGACGCTGGTGAAACCCCAATTCGTCCATCCTGTCGCCCATTGGAATCGAAGCAAAATACTTATTTGGAAAATCTGAAAAAACACATTCTGCCACTTTCCGTGTCGCAGGATTTTAACATCGCCAAATTGGAATGGAAATTGGTTCGCATTGTGAAAACGGAAGAATTTGGAAAATGCCCGTGCAGCCATCCAATCAAAGAGCACTGCTACATAAAAAACAAGAAAAACCAAAATTGCACGCACGTTGGAAACGAATGCATAAAAAAATTCATGGACATCGATACGGGCACATTGTTTTCAGGATTGCGACGAATCAACAAAGATCAAACAGCAAAACCAAATTCAGCATTGATCAAATACGCATATGGACGAGGATATTTGCACGACAAGCAACATACATTTTTGCTGGATATCAGAACAAAAAGACGAGCATTGTCTGACAAACAAAAAGACTGGTTGCGCTTCATCAACAACAAAATCCTCAATGACATCGTCGTACGCCGTTTGCCAAACTAAATTGACAATAAGAAATGATGCAATTTATCTGTCATATGACGAAATTCCTTTTAAAATACACACTTTGTGTAACACACATAAATACTTTTAACAGTAAATGTTAACTTATCCAAATTTATCGTAAAACTTATGGATAATATTTTTTTAATTTTTTTGAATAAAGAAAAACGAGTACTTGTTTTTTGAAATGATGCGTGTGTGTGTGTTTTTTTTTATTGCTTATTGAATAGATGCATTTGTAAATAGACTTGAATCAATTTCTATTTGACGAAAACTTTACTGTATTTATTCTTGTTGTGGGACATTTTGTACACTTGCGACTGTTGTTGCATTAAATTCTTCTTCATTCTGATTCTGTTGCGGATCAGATTCGTTCGGTTGGGTATTAGGTAGGTCAAGGTTGAGTTCAGCTACCATTGATGGTAGTGGATCGGTTGGATTATCGCCTTCGATAATAATTTCCTCTGGATCTGGTGCACGTGGTAAAAACTCTTCATTTTCGAAGATTTGTGTGAACACATGTTTTGCCTGTTGAATGGATTCGTCATAATCTAGCTCAAAGAATGGTCCACAGGCGACATGGCAATTCGAAGGCAATTTTATCGAATCAGCACATTGCACACATGTCGGAATGTTGAAATACATCGACCAAAGCACTTCGTGCGACTCATCATCGTTGAATAGCAACCGCTCGTATGGTTCAATATCGGATTTTGGTGAATCACTTCGACTACGACACGTTATATGTACAAGATCTGGAAAAATGGAATGAAAGAAAAATTAGTCAATTGATTTGCCGTGGAAATACTCTGATTTTTATATTGATTCAAAGCTAAATTCATTATTTTTCTGGCAAATCGCCTCTATTGACCTCTATGTCCATTGTTTCAATTTATTTCAGCTCATCAATTATGTAAAAATCTGATATTTTGTTCCAACACTTACACAAATCCTTCGGTACGGTTCCGCTCCAGTGTGTCAATTGGATCACAAATGCGCCCGTACTTTCATTGCCATTCACAGCAAATTCGTCACCGATTGGCGGTAGTTTCAGAAATTCCACACCACCACCAGTGCTACCCGGTTGATTGCATAATGGTCTAGTTAGTATGAATATTGCACGGGATAATTTACCGCATTGATGCGCCGCATCTGAGTTGCATGTTTCCGATTTTTTTGGCAAAATATGCGCAAAATGCTTAATCTCAGTACCAGATATGACTATTGATTTGGCTTTTATCGTCTGTTCATTGCATTTGATTGCGTGGAATTCGTCCAGTGACTCATTCAAATGGATCTCAGTGATTGGACGTTTTAGGCAATAGATGCCACCAAACACGGCACTCAAACGACAGAAACATTGCGGAATTTCACCACATCCGTACATTGGAAATAAAAATGGTGAATTTCCATAGCGGCCTAAACTCTGCAAGAATTTTTTCACTCGCTTCACACCGTTCGAGCAGAGTGTTTGGTCATCGCACATTCCAATTGAATAGAGTATGTAGTGGATTAGGTTTTGAGTCAAACGCTTGTGCTCCAAATAACTCCGGAACGTTTTGTCTTCAAAATCTGAAAAGAAATTTGCATTAGTCGAACGAACTTAAATGAATCGATCTACACAAAGAGGTGAAAAATTTGCTTAGATCTAGGAAAGTAGTTGAAAGATTGGAAAAGATGAAACTTCATAACCACAGAGGACTATAAAACAGTTGTGTAGGCTACCTTTGAATTCCTCTTCATTTTCGGTGCTCATACAATTCGATAGGACCTTCATCAATAGTCGCTTTTCCAACACGGTCACATCTTTGTTCGTGAATACATCGGCACGCGAACAAGGCACCACTTTCATTTCGTTATTGATGCACGTGATAATTCGATCAACGGCTCTGAACTCTGCATAGCGCGAAATATTCGATGAAATCAACAACTCAACTAAATCACCACGGGCGAATAGCAGCTGTAAATTGGCAAAGTAAATTCAATGAAAAATATTAATCGTCGAAAAACAATTGAAATGACGATAAATCAATGGAAATTGAATGACGCAACATGACTTATCAAAAATGGACTTTTTGATTGAAGATAAATGTTAGAACTGATTGCACATTGAAACTGACATTAATTTACAGTGGATAGGTCATTTGAAACTACAAAATACTCTCAGAAGTTTTATCACAAACACAAAAATACCACACAATAAGAAACACTTGAACTATCCAAAATGACACATACTTTGGGCGTCAAATCGATGTTAAACTTGCGGAAATCATGCATCACTTTGTCTCTGGTCCAAAGGTTCTCCAGTTCATCGTTTCGCTCTTCCGTTTGTTCATCGATTTTCTCATCGTCCGTTTTGTTTCCAATTTCCAGTATATTAGCTGGTATTCGCCACTCAAGTTCAGCATTTTCAATCACAAAGTTAACGCTGGGATCCAATGTAATTATTCCATTGTTCACACTGACATTCGCACTCGGACGACCACATTTATTATTATTGGCCAATGTTTCGATGCCTTCCAAATTGAATGATGCCCATAGTCCACCGTAATAATCATTCGAATCGAGATGCAGCACTGTTTTTCCGATTCGACTGGCCGCTGCAGCCAATATTGACTCGGTCAAACCTGTTATTGGAATATTGAATAAGCGAAATGAAAACGAAAACGAACAAATTGTTTGAGAACAAAGCAACGCAATACAATTCAATGGTTTTTCGTTCAATTACTCACCTGTACCAATCACAATTAAATCAAATTCCGTGGGCAATGAGTCGTCAACCGTCGACATGCTGAACACACAAGTGATTCGTCACTATGGTATGCTTAAATCGGATTTTGCCAGTGGTTTTTCTTCTTATTTTTGCGTCCGTGATACATAAACAGTGTGATACTTCAACACGCAATGACGTTTCGACTGAAGGTCTGCGCTATCGACACTCGAGCACAACATTTCTTTTTTTTCCCCTCTGCTCTCTGCTCATTCGTTCGTTCTTTCATCGCTGTGTGTCGACTGTCAATGTGACTTGAAGATAATACACACAATAGCGAGAATCATGGCACTGTGGAGATATCGTACACCAATTACTATCGGCCTAAGTTTAGCCTCAATCACCACAATTTACAGTTTTCGGTAAATTTTGTTTAGCATTTTTGTGTTTCATACAGATTTAAATGTGGAAAAAAGTACGTCAATTAATCGATTTTCTTTTCACGGTGTTTTTCCTTTGCAGCAATGAACTTTTCAACTCAAACCTAGATGAACAGCGCAGAAAATTGTACGGCGATCCAGAGAAACAACAACGAACGTTCCAGGCTGCATGCAAAGAAATGGACGTTCCCGTTCAAAAGTTTTTCTAGCCGATTTCGATATATTCTATTAATTAGATGATTTAAGCACAATAAACGCTCTTTTCCGTTCAAATAAACAAGTTGCTTTTGATATTTTATCCATAACATATTTCTTTATTACTGAGTGTACAAATGTCTACGAGAGACAAAAACATTCTAAGTGATTACATTTTTGTTGGTTCTTTTTCTATTTTACACGGGTGTCCTATGGTTTATGAATTTTGGCGACGCGTGGATCATCTGGACGCATATGAACTGGTAGGTATTTGTACACTTTATTGGTCGTTTTACCGTTCTTGTGGTCATAGTGAAGTTTAAATGCAGCCACTGTAGCCATTGAAGTTGCAGCAACACCGGCCAAAAGTACCTCCGGAATTTCGTTCAACGCTTGCTTCCACAATCCTACCAATTTTCCACTCGCTGCTGCCATTGTTTTGAATAACTGCGGGAAGAAATTTTTTTTCATACGAAATTAATACACATTGATTTGATAGGCCAAATTTAGACAAATATTCTCTCGTTGCACTGTGACTGAAAAGATTATCGCAATTTAGATTAGTGGCTATTTATGCTTTTTATCACATAAAGCAGCTATTTGCACTTAAAAATCAATGAAAATAAACAAAATTTACTTATTTTCCGCAGCCTGATTCCCTTTTGCCTGGAGATTACGTGATTGAAGGAAAACTTTGATTTCGCTTCAAAATGTCATGCGAAAATGTTATTTTGATATTCAACATTTAGTTCGGTGCGAAAAACACCGATCGCAGCGACACTTCACAGCTGCATTATCACACCATATTCAGCGCTAAATTTAAATTGCACGACATATGCGCAATTTTTCGGTGAGTAAATGCAAATTTGAATTGAAAAGGGAAAAATATTCCAAGGGAAATAATATGTTTTGATGAAAAAACATCAATTTTGATCGCGAATAGTTGGTTTTCGTAAAAGACATTTTTCGGTTGGGATAAAAGTAATTTTTGATAGGAAAAGTTATTTTTGCTTAAAAAAAAACACCAATTTCTTCTCAAGGCTTGAAAAGATTTTTTTCCAAGAAAATTCCGATTTTGTTGAAAAAAAAAAGCATGCATCGTTCAAAAAAATTACATTTTTCATTAATTTAAAAAACTTCAATTAGCCATGTGAAAAAAGGTATTTTTTTCCCTTAATATTTTCCTGGGGTATGATATTTTAATATGAATAAATGTTCTTTGCTACTCCGAAACAATCAAATGGTTCCAGATTCTACAAGTTCTGCAAGGTGCAAACAGGCGTGAAATTGAATCCATTCTAAGGATTATTTGACTTTCATAGGAAAAAGTGGGAACCACAAAGAATTCCACGAATTCAAATTGACATTGAATGATGGCAATGACAAGCAGCGCACTATTCTAGAATCTATAATAAAAAGAAAAGGGTGAAATAAAACTCATTTCAAATGTTGCAATGATTTTAAATGGCTGATCGTGTTTTCTTTATTGAAATGTGCAATAATTTGTTTTTTTTTCAAAGATACAATAAATTGGGATTTTGATCAAAGGTGTTGTTTTTTTTTCATTCACAAAATTACTACGCATAAAATAAGCTAAAGACTCGAATGAATCGTTAAAATGTTGTGAATCACATTCGTTCCATACTTCGATGGCGAGCAATGACCTTTGATTTGGATGCTTTTTTACTGTGTGCTTACTTGTTTCACATTTTTTGTTGTTGAATGCACTAAATTCAATGAAAACGTCCAGAAATCTCACATCGATTATTCCAATTTTTTTTTTTGTGATTTTCACAAATATATTTTTCTTCGTGATTTCAATTTTCCAAAAGGGGGCATTTGCTCATATTTTCTACATCTATTTTCGTTCTATACATTAAATAAGGTTTGTGTGTGTATGTGTGTATGTGTGTTTTTGTTGCATACATAATAATTTCCTTCATTGGTTTCTTCCACGTAGAAAATAACCGCAAAAGTGTGTGATGTTTTTCTTTCAATTTCATTCTTTTTTTGTTGAATTATCAGAATGCAATTTGGAATATATACAATTATATGTTTTTGTTTTAAATATAGCCGGAAAAAATTGAGTTTATAATGAAGAACAAATTAACAGTTTGACTGCTGACCATTTTCTGTTCTATGGTTTGTTTGTTTCATTCTCTATGGAATACTCTACAATAAATATGACATTTTCACTGCATGCGTCGCTTTTTCTTCGTTTTTTTTCTTCTTCTTTTCATTTCTCTTATGTGATACTGTTTTTTTTTGCAATTCTCGTGCTAGTTTTACATTCTACGTAATTGATCAATGTACAATGTACGGGTATACGTTAAATAAGGGTACAATTTTCTGTTTTGTTTTTTCTTTCCATTTCATTTTTTTTTCATTAGATGCATTTTGTAAAAAGGAAAATGCAGTTTCCTTTTTCGACTAGAATCATGGGCATCTTTCAATCGTCCAACTGTGAATCAATTCACATTTTATTTTTTTTTCCTTCGTTCTGTTTTCCCTCTTTCATTTAAATTGATATATTTTCAATATCGGGTTCAGCTTTGGAACTTCCGCTCGGCGAATCTTTTTCTTCGGCTATTGGCAATAGCTCCGATTGATTGGGCAATGATAGTGTCAGTGATAATGTTGACTGGGCCGACGATTGCGATGTTTGCAGTTTGGACGAATCCATTTCGCTCACATCACGGGCAGAGCTCGAGTCACTCGATTGCGTACTCTCGTTACTTTGTTGATCATGCTTTGAGCTCAATCCATCCGATAGAGTACTGTGTAGTTCCTGTGTGAATAAACATTGGTATTTTGTTAGGAATCTTTCATTTTGATCTTTTTGCGACTTTTCCGACACTTACCCCGCACTGTTTTGAAGAAATATTCTGCCGCCAAATATTGCCCGAGTTCTTTGGAGTGCGTTGCTTCTTCAGGCCAATCACTGCATTGGCCGCATGCATATTGAGCGAATTGACGCTTGGCATCGCATTGCTCGTGCAGCACAACGGTGAAATTGAACACTTTGCATCGGCAGCACTGCGTGGATGCAAACGATCCGGCGACAACGCACGTCGCAACAACGGTGAACTGGGCTCAGCACTTTTCGGCCGAACAAATGAGGATTTTTTACCACCCGACATTGTTGTGATGCTACTTGTACTGGATGTTATGTTTGTCGATGTTGAATTCGGTGTGTTTGAACCGCTGCTCGTTAACGAACTATTCAAACTGGTATTGTTTGGCAATGCACAACCTGGACTGTACGACTGTGTTGTATTTGATGCTCCTAAAATGTTGTAAAAGCAAGAGAGAGTTTAGGATTGTTTATCGATAGGAAAATATTGGAATTAGAAATGTTCAAAGTGAAACCAACCAAATTTACCTGGTTGATGCACAATGACGGGAAATGCGAGCGGTGACGGTGATCGTGTCGGTGATGTTGTTGGCAATGGTGATGGCGATGGTGTGCGAGCCAATGGGGATAATGGGATATGGCCAACCGATTTTCGACGATTCGATGAATTATTCGAAACATTTCCCGTCGATACACCGCTTCCACTACCTGGCGAAAAGCCTACAAAATATCAATGTTGATTAGTTTTGTTTAGAATTCAAAAGAAACAAAGTCGCAAATTCAAAGTGCAATTTGAACGGCGAATCAAAAGAAAGTCATGAAATTGATTCGATTTTTCAAAAGCAAGAAGTTAATGTTGTAATTGGACATTACCGTGTAGCTTATGTTTGAGTCCGTGTAGTGTAGATGGCCGCGATGGATGATGATGGTGATGATGATGGAACAAGTGTGATGATGCACCCAGAAAACTGTGCAATCAAAAAATTGGTATTAGTTCACATAACAATTTGTTTCAAAATTTCTTTTTTTTCATAATTTTTCGAGTTAATTCAAGCAATTTTTCCCTACTATTTGTACTGTTCACCCTCAAAAACTCACCTATGGGCAGCACTTGCTGTCGGTGTATTTGGTGCTGAACTTGATGGCGATGAGGATTGCGAAGAGGATGTTTTGGTGGTTGTTGTTTCTTCACGCGGACCGGACACATTTTGGGAAAATGATTGGCAGCTTCTGCTTGGCGTTACACTACCGGGTGATGGTAGACTTGAGGCTAAATGCTGCATTTCGGCCGATGCACGTTTCGTGCTGATGCGCCGAAACAGTGAGGTTTTTCGCTTTTTCTCCGCATCTTTGCGTTGTTTCTTCTGTCGACTCACACTTTTCTTGGCCAACTTACTCTGATGCACATCGCGTCGTCGTCCGCCCGTCTGAATGCTCGTATACTCAAGTGGAGTTGTTCTCAATGTGACATGTTCATTATTGCCATTGTTCAATAGCAATTGCAGCACTTGAGTGTGGAAAAGCCCTTGCACCGGTTCACCGTTAATGTGTGTGATTAAATCAGCTGGTCGCAAACCGGCTTCGAATGCTGGACTCTTTTCATCAACTGCCATCACCAAGTGGTGCATGGTATAAAAGTCTGTATCACCGTAATATACTCGGATTGTGTGCACGGTGAATCCAATGCCGCGTGGCTCACGCCTAATTATTATCGGTGGCTTGAGATTTGTAACCAATGGCGACAGTTCGCGACATGGCGAAGTATCACGAGATGATGCCGTACTTGAACCACCGCCAGCTCCACCAATTGCACTGTAAATCGGTATGTTACCACATGGTGACTGCACAAACTGTGGCTCCGATTTCTCTAAATCACCCGACTCCAAAGCATTCAACGTAGTTTTGCTTTCGCCAGCTGATGCCTCATCAGTTGCTGTTCGGGATAAAGACGAACGATTGATTTTGAACACTTTTTCTTGAAGATTCAGAGTGGAACAAAAAAAAAAATTAAAAGCGATTCCTTACCTGATGACACAAGTAGAGACAGGCCAAGTGCTGATGCACTTTTTATCACTGACCGAGATCGATGCTTAGCGCCTGTCGGTAAACCTGGAACTGGTGGAGTATTCAACGGCGATGACTCGGTATCTTGCCTGAAAAGTTGAAATAAGACATTAGTATCACTCAAACGTGTGAGAATATTTTGTGTCCAACCAGGGGTTAGCAGAGCTTTTTTTAAAGAGAAAAAATCATATGTTTCTCAAAGCTGAAGACAAAATTCGGAAACAATCGAAAAGCAATTATCATTTCAACCTACCCACTAAATTCATCTTCAATGGAAATGGAGAATCGTGGTAGCATATCGCGTTGATGAGTATTCTTTCGTTTGCGTTGTATCTGTGGCGATACATCGTCACTATCGGTTTGCGATGAATCCGGTGTGCTAATGTTCAATGTGTCTGATTTGCTGGTCTTGGCCACCACTTTTAGTTTATTGTTTGCACCAGTTTTATTGGGTGAGTCGAGTTTACGAGCATCCTTTGGAATATCAGCCGCCACCGCCGCTATCACCGATGGATGTTGTGGTCGATGCTGTGATGTTGACTGCTGTTGTTTGAAGTATTGATGAATCGTTCCACTTTCACTTTCGAATGTTGGAATATAATCGGTGTCTGGCGTTGACGGCAGTTTCATAGCCGTTGTACGGCAAACCTATGAAGAAGAAGAATGAGATTATTATCCAGAATGGGTTATATAATAAGATTGTAGTATGTTATATATTTCTTGATCTTCTTAATAACGTAATGTGCACAAAGCACAAAGCCTTTGATGTAATCGTATTTTGAATGAATAATTGGTTTTATCCACGGAATTGCATCGAAATAGAAATAACTCGAATGCGATAACTTACATCCAATTTACGAAGTTGTGGCGTTGAAATGATCTTTCCAATGCTTGAATTTGGTGTGTTTTGCGGTGCATTGGTAGTTTGACTCAGATTCGACGATATCGGCGAAGCCGTTCCACTGCCACTGCTCGTATTGATTGACTCATCGAGCGATTGTTGTGGCAAATTAATCTGCACCAGACTGGAATTATGCTTGCGATACTGTGGCGAATATGAGCCAAACGAGCCAATCAACGGAAAATCGTCAGTGTCATCGGTATCCTCGCCACCCATATCGTGATTGTATCGATCCATTCGCGCTGTAAAAGAGGCAAAGGCATTGAATTTCGGTTCTTTCCTACGAAATGTTGTATTTAAAACTTATTTTAAAACACTTACTATCAAAGTAGCTCGTATCATCTTCGCTGGCAAGCTGTGGAACGAATTCGGCTTTTTGTCGCAGCAATGAATTCCAGTCGATGGCATTAAAATAGCCATGCTCTTTGACTTCATGTGCGCCGCCTGTTCCAAGACGTTCCCTTGGATTTTGTTGCAAAAGACTTGTGATGAGATCTTTTCCATCCTCGGCCACTTCCCAATCATCTTCGCTTGGCCATTCAATGTCATCGTTCACCGTGTGAGCGAAAAGTTCTTCGGGTGTTTCACCAAAGAATGGAACGCATCCGATGAGGAATTCGTATAAAATGATGCCCATCGACCACCAATCAACTGGTTTTCCGTAGCCTTGTCGCAGAATCACTTCCGGTGCAATGTATTCAGGTGTACCAAACACTTGTTTATCGGAGAATTGCCGTGTTTCTCGATCGATGTAACCTTCATAAAGTGTGGTGGCCAATGACATCAGACCCATTTTTGACAGTCCAAAATCAGTGAGTTTTATGTGACCCAATGCCGTTATCAACAGATTGTCCGGCTTCAAATCTCGATGCACAATACCGTAACTGTGCAAATACTCAACGGCCAGCACCGTTTCGGCAAAGTAAAATCGAGCCATATCCGGCGGCAATGGACCAATATTCTTCAGTAAAGTGGCACAATCACCACCTTCCACGTACTCCATCACCAAACACAAATGCTTTTTCGTTTCAAAGCTACAGCACATACTGACCACAAATGGATTGTCAGCAAAACTTAGAATATCACGCTCGGCAAACACTTGCTCCACTTGATTGCGCAATATCAGATTATTCTTACTGATTTTCTTCATAGCGAATCGTTGTCGCGTTTGCTTGTGTTTCACCAGAAATACTGCACCGTATGCACCGTTCGAAATTAATTTCAACTCTTCGAAATCGGATTCATTTGGCATCGCCGCTGATGCGGATGACTGCACGGATAGTTGATTTTTCGGTGTGACTTCCATGTTTGTTGACTGCTCCTGGGCGGTAGCACATTGCTTTTTCGGCGTTGACGATGTAAAATAATTATTCGATTTCTCCAGGCTGGTGTTGTTGCTGCCTGGCGATGTGTTACCATCGTCTGAGATTCCACTAATACTTCCAGCAGCTGTCACAGTCGTATCATTCCATCGGCTGAAATTATCAAGTGGATTTAAGTTAATTTTAATGTTTTTTCGATTTTCCTTCGAAAAATTTGCAGTTTCTATCGAAACAGTTCATTTCCCTACTGGAAATAAGTCTCGCTCTTTAACAGTCGGAAAAATCACTTACATAAATGTTGAATCGGCTTTCGTATCGTTTGTAACATTTGATTTATCGGCATCACGTAAGGAGGCGTCGTCAATACTTTGTTCCCTGTTCGCATTCTGTGTGGATTGTTCAGCGTTCGAGCTATTCGAACCAATTGAACATTCTCTGAGTTCCTGTTGCAATTCGGCGATTGGATCGCGATTTAAGCCTAATTTTTGAATAATATACTGTGGAATATCCGCTTTAATACCCTGTAATGCGTATCTCGCCTGACCTTCGGCCACTTCAAGCAAATGATAAAATTCTTCGGGATCGAATTCCAGGCACTCAAGCAATCGTGCCGGTCGTGAAATGATTAACAGCAATTTTTTAATTACACCGGTCAGTTCAGCGGCCGCTTCGGGTGATTTGTCCTTTGTTTCGGCCAATAAACGCTCTAAATTCTCCGACATTTCATAGAAATAGCGACTTGTGATGAGTTTGGCATGTGATTTATGCAAACAGTCGCGAGCCATTTCAAGCACCTGATGATGAACAAATCGTACGATTGGCTGTGAATCACGGAAATTTCCGCTAGCCACGTATTTGTTCTCGTTGATGAAATGCGTGAGACGCTCTTCCATCTGAAGTGTTGCTTTTGGAAAGCGTTCCTTGTACAGAATATTCATCATTGCGATTTCGTTATCGACCAGCGGCGATCGATTCGGACTGGACAAACTACGCGATCGTGGCCGACGATGCATCGGTGAATGGCGACCACCTTCGAAATCTTTGACCGATGTTGGTGTTTCGCCGCCATTGTTGCCGGACGACACAGAACCCACATCAGATATCGAATGCGGCTGCTGATGACTTTGGTGTTGTTGCGATAGCTGCGATTGATGCTTTAGCAGCTTTGACTGATGTTGCTGCAAATGGATATGACAGAAAACATAAATCCAATCAATTCTTTGCGCGTCATGCGAAAATGTCAACATTTTTTGCCGAACGCTAAATTCAATCACGGGAATTGTAAAGAGAACAAAGTTTCAAAAGGAAAACACTTACGTTCGCTTCGACGACACTGTTATTGGCTCCCGAAAAATGATGCGATAAAATTCTCAGCTCATCGTTTGTCGGTTGATTTGGTAGCTGATGCAAACGCTCTTGACTCGAGCACTGCGACTGTTTACACATAATATTTGGATTAATTTAGAATAATTTACAATATAAACAGTGGATTTATTTTTAGACAGAATAAAAACAGCAGATAATTGCATATTTATGGGCTGGATTTTATGGTTGTTTTTATCATTTACATCCAAACATGCTCGGATCTTATTTCTTTACTTTCCAAGCACTCGTTGTGACCAAAAAATAAATCATCGCGTAAAATTGGCACCACAATCTGCACGATTTGTCAACGCATTCGATTCAAATTGTTGATAATTTTTGCAAGTATGTTTGTGCAAGTTTTGAATGACACATACCGATAGATTGGAGCTGCCTGGAGTGGTTCCATATCCCGATGATGGCAGCGATGCGACCGACCATCGTCTGCCATCACCGCGACAACTGGATATTCGCTTGATGGGCAAAAATGGGAATTGCATATTGCTGGCTGGCGAATTGATTCGTGGACTGTCCACTGGACTCGCTGATATCGGGGAATGCGATCGAGGCGACGTTGTATAGTTGTGATGTCCTCCGAGTGACAGCTGTAGGAAAAAGCAAAAGCAAATCGAATTTAGATGGAATGTCACGAAGGTTCACCACAGCTCAAAGAGATTTTTTGCATTTGTTTAATTTTTGTTAGTTTACATCCGCTGCGTTCAAAGTTCGTTTTCGAACAAAGTTGTGTATCAAGCGGAGAAAATTTAAATCAGAATGGTCAACATTACTCACTCGATGGATGGCAACAGCTGCACTTCGTGATGGTAACGCGGCTGAGCCGCTAGCACTGAACCCAGTCGATCGTTTCGTTGATGACAGTAGCATTGATGCAACTGCTGCTGTGGAATGTGATGGTGCCGCGCATGATTCACGCTAATAGTACGAAAGGAAATAATGAAAAACATGAACAATGATTAAAACGGCGCGTCAGAGAGCGACAATCACATTCATAATCAACTTTGTTTGAATTGATTTTCACAATCAGCACTATGTACACATTATCTGGACGTGTGTGTGTGTTGCTATTTAAATCCCATTCTCAAATTGATAAGAATTCAAGAATCGCTGTGACACTTTCATGAATGCATCAAACATGCAACAATTGTTTAGTGTGAATCGAAACAAAAAATATGTGTGTGCATAAAATAGATTTTGTTTAAACGATTTCATCGTAAGTTATCGCAAATGAACGGCGAATAGAAAAAAAATTCCTTGTCAGATCAAAAAGCCAATGTAAATAGCGAAAGTGTACCTGATCTTAATCAAAAGAATGACAAAAAAATCCTCCCTTGTCGTTATTTACAATAAACAAGGTATTTGATAAATTATATTTACATTCCGAGAAATGGATTCATTGATGGTGTTACACCAAAAAAAAAGAACAAAATTATCTCCACAGCAACCCAACATTTAAAATAAATATTAAAATGCAATGTTTGAGATGTGCGTCGAATGCTGTTTCAAACAAAGTTCCACAACGCTTTATTATAAATGGTAGTTTATGTGTGATAAAGTGTGCGAGGCGCTTACCGATGATGGTGACAAAGATGGAGCCGATTTGCCTAGCTGTGAATTTCGAACGCGAATCAAATTGGAAATTTCCGTTCGTGACGATGAACTACTGCCACTAGTTCGAAACAAATGGGAATTTTGATAGGAAATTTTCCGTTGATGCTGGATTGGTGTCACCGAACCGCTAAAATCACGGCCAACCGAAACGGCTGACGCTGACTTGAATAGTCCACCGCTACCACTGGATGCTCCACCGCTTGTGTTCACCAAAAAGTGATCTTTGCGGAATGATGGCGGCGTCAATGGCTGAATGGTTTGCTGTAATTTCATCGATTGAAATGGAATGAAACCAAAAGAAAAGGAAAACTTGAAAATTTAAAAAAGAAACGGAAAATCGTACAAATAGAGAGGAAAAAACCAATTACGAAAATACCAATCAAATGTTTATTAAATGATAAAAAGAAGAAGAAACAAAGAAAATCAACAGCATTTGAATGTGATTATGCGTCCTAATTTCTTAATTACACATTGATCGATATATTCATCAGTTTTACCCATACCTGATGATGTTGCTGTTGTTGTTGTTGTTGTTTGGGTGATGTGCTCAATTTTAGTAAATCTCGATCAAACGATGACGCTGCACATGGTTCGTCAAACATCAGTGCTCGTGCCGATAGCATGGACTGTGGCCTGCGATTGTTCACCAACGATGACACCTTGTTTGGTCGATGTGTTATCGTTGTTGATAACGTCGGCGATGATGACACAGACGTTGAAGACACGCATGGCTTCTGCATTAATTCATACACACACACACACAAAAAAAAATTGATTATCTATCTATCTCTGGATAAAACAATTATCAAACACGAACACGAACATTCACTTGAATTGCATAGCAATTTTCAGCCGATGTGCAAAGACCACAATAAATTCAAGTTAACAACATATCGATTAAACTTATCGAAGGCTTTTTAACGGGTTCTTCACACTCGATAATATCTACTGATTTTTTTCTTTGTTAATGATGGTACCTCAGTTATGGATCGTTTTCCCGCTTTTGGGATTATAATTGAATAGATCCAAAAATGCATAAAATTTGACATTTGAACAGCTCTAGGAACTTATGAGTTATACGTGACCCGTTTGTATGGAGTATCGCGAAACCACAAGTCTGTAAATGAATCAAAGACTCATAACACTAATTCATAAGCCACGTTGGAACAGCTGAAAGCAGTTCAATTCATTATTAGAGTTTTTATTGACAAGTTTTTATGAATAATGATGAATATCATCAAAAATCTTGAATTCCTTCAAAAAGTGGTGTTTTTTTTTCTCTTGAGAACTTTTGATTTTTATTTAAATTGGAAGCTTTTTTCCATAATCTGCATTTAATAAACTTTGATTCTAATTTCAAATTTAAAAAAAATCCATGTATAATCAGTGTGAGCTCTGCGAAAGAATTGTCAACAGTTGTTGGAGAGGCATTCGCCACTTGAGCCATTGAACGAATCGTGTGTATTTTTAGCGATCGCTAAGTGTTTCTGCGGCGGAATTTGACAAAAATAGCTTTAAAATTGCTAGCATTTCTGTGATTATGCGTCAGAAGGTTTCGCGGTATCCGAGCAAAAAACAGAAACCGCAAAAAAGCGGGCAATCGAATGTGAAAATGTCAAACCTGTTGTTGTTGGTTGATGAGTTCATTGGTGGTATCCTTTTGGGTTTTGTTGTCTGACGGCACTGGTTTGTTGTTGTTAGCTTTCTGGTTATTCATTGTATGATTTTTGGGGCTAAATGGTGTCAGTTGCTTTGCATCAATTGTGTGTTCTTAATTTTGAAAATTGATGTGTGTGATAAAATTGGCGATTTTAATGTTTGAATTGGTTTTTGTTCTCGTTTGTTTTTTTTCTATTCTCTCTTTCGTGAGAAACAAATGCTAGTTGATTGTTGTTTCCATATAAATCAGCATTTATATTGTTGTTATCTCTCGTTCGATATCACATTGAGAAAGAATGACGAGCGTACGGATGCGCGCGAGAGTGAGAGTGCGTTCTTAGCACATTGATCAAAACATTCTTGTTTTGTTAACACTCTTAATTATTCCAGACACGAATTGCAAACTATGCATATTTTCTCTTTGTCTGATTGTTTCACACCGAACTCCAAAATGATTGATCTTTTCGCTTCTCAATTGAATTTGGCGGATATCCTCTGATAATCGTGTTTCACCTGTTTCTGTTGGCTGCCATACACCACTGCAATCTTTGTCCCTCCTCTTCGTCTCTAAATCGATGATAAAAAAAAGAACACAATCAACAAGTCGATAAATTTACATTGGAAATTTTTTTGATTCGGGGTAAACAAAAAACAGTTTTACAAGCACAACAAGTTTGCACCGCAAAAGCGGTTTTAATTTATTGTCTTCTTCGCAAATCTAATGAGGTGTAAATCATTTATTTATGAGTGAGAGAGAATATTCTGTAAATATTCTGTAAATATTCTGTATTTGTTTGGTTCTAATTATACTTGGTCGGGCCGGGCTATTTCAGATTTTTTTTTGCCTATTTTTATTTTCTTTCTTCTTATGCGCCTTCTTTTTTTGTGTTCGTTATGCATGCTCCGACTGAATTGTGTAAAGTGTATGGTGTTTTGATTTGAATACACTTTGAATGAAAATGGGCTGATCAGTTGAGTTGATCGATCGGTTGGTTGGACGGTTGGTTGGTTGTTGTTTATCTTTTTGTGGGCCAAGCATACGCAAATGTGTCAATGTGTGGCGCTAATGAGTCTGCGCGCGCTCGTCCGCTCCATGTTCATTCAATCAACCGAAATTTGCAAATCAGATTAGAAATTGATTTATGTGATTTTTTCATTTTAGGCTATTGAACGCCTGTTACATTCAGCACACAAGCCGCAAATAGAGTCGAGTGAAATGTTGTCGATTCGTGCACCTCTTCGTCGTCGTCGTCACTGTTACCATGTGTGTATTTATGTTTTTCCTTGATTTACCCATTCATAGAGAGCTTTTGCATCGAAATTTGCTTTGAATCTCAGCAATCGTTGGATGTAAATTTTGTTTTACAATTTACGCCGATGTCAATTTGCATATATGCAAATGAAATCTGTAATTATTTTTATAGCATCATCGTCATTTTGAGAGTTATCTATGGACTGAGAAACTGAGCGAGCGAACAAATGAACGAGCGAGCGAGCAACGTACGGTAGAGATATCAGTTGCTTTCTCACATGCGATTATACAATCAGACTTTTGCATTAATTCAACATTCCACACGGCGTATAAATATATACACATGCAAACGCCAGAAACATGAAAGTGAATTGTACTTTGGCATTTAATTCGAAGTTGATCGATTCATCTTGTAAACCAAACAAAAACAACAAAAACAACAAAAGTATAAACAACATTTCAAACGTCGCAAAAACCCATTGGGTTCAGTGAGGTTTTTATTCTTCTTTCATCTATGTGTCTCGTGGATATTTTTCCAAATAGCCATGTATATGTCCCGAAAGTCCAGCTTAGAAGAATGTTTCAGAAAATTGTTTATTTTGCGATAGATTTATCGAGAATTGTTGTCATTGGCATGTGTTCGAAATCAATCGTAGTTTTTGCAGTCGAACAAAGACGAGAGAAAAAAAATTCCGTCTAAAGTCTCAAATCATAGAGTCGATTTAATCATAAACCATACCCGTCATATAGCATTAACTAAATCAAATGTGTGGCTCATGTTTTTTTTCTATTCTGTCGCTTTGTGTGATTTTGATGCCATGGACACGTTTTCCTTCTAAAAATTGCAATTAGATTATTTATTTGCACTTTGATTAAGTCGCATGATTTATAATAGGCCTTTTCGTTCAGCTGTTGCTGCTGCTGTTGTTGTTGTTGTTGTTGTTGTTGGATCGAATGAAACCAGCAACAACAACAACGACACGATCACAGCGCAATGAGTCAGCTAACGAATTCGGTGAGATGCAATTTTGCAACAACACAATGTCAACGCGATTTCAAGTCACGAGCATTAGAGGAGGAATCACGGCATGCAGCAAGGAGAGAAAATTAGTGAGCGAAAGAAAGGGAGAGAAAGCGAATGTTCGTCCTTGATATTGATTCTTGACGTTGCTGTGATGGTGATGGTCATTCGTTTTCTTTTTTTTTGCTTTCTTGAAATGTGGTTTGGAAAATGTGCATTTTGTAACTTCCGTTATGCGTTTGGGGCTAAGCATGCGGCCAATTGGTATCCTTCATTGCGGATCTCCACATAATTTTACAAGCTATGAATGCCTCCGCTTATGTGCTGTTGCACTTTTCAAATTCAATATCATTGCAAGAGAATCACTAAAAGTTGCTTGCTGTGTGGGAGTGCGGGGCGCGCGCTTTTTTCGCTCTCTGTCTCTCTTTCTCTCACAAACAACAATCATTATGAAAGAGTTGCAATCGATTTCGAAAAATTAAATTGCAAACCAACGTCGACGACAACGGCGACAACAACGATAGTGAGCGCGAACGTGCGCGCGCGCGCCCGTGGAGCGACACATCTTTTGGGAGGCCATGTAACCATTTATAGATTTGCATTACCTATACTCGCCGCAAAGTGAAACAGAGAGAGAGAGAGACAGAGACAGAGATAGAGAGAGAGAATAAAAACACACAAAAACTAAACGGTAGAATATCAAGTCATAACCACTCACTTTCGACGAATGAATTTCTGTGACGACAACAACAACGCCGTGCGCTATTAAAAAATTGTAATTGTTTTTGAGGCATTTGTGTGTTTTTGTCTCTTTGTCGCTCGCTTACATTTTTAACCGATTAACTATTGAATATGAATATTACAAAACCGCTACATCAGTTGTGTCTCTATGTGTATGTATGTATCTCTCTCTCTCTCTCTCTCTCTCTTGCCTTTATTTTTTCTTCTTTTGTTCGACTGTTCGTTAAACTATGCTAATTCCATCTTTCTGCTACCGTTTTGATTGCCGTCGTCGTTGTCGCCGTCGAGCAACGACAACTTCGGTTGTTGCAACTTTTTTTTTATATATATATTCGCTTGTGTAATTACACACAGTATAGAAATGAAATTGGCTCGCAATTTATATTTAACATTTTTTTGCTGCCGAACGTACACATACCTTTTTCCGATGCAGAAATCGAGTTGACGGTGTTGCGAGAGTCAGCTGCAAGTGGTCAGCACATAGTCGCATACAATTCACACATTTTAACACTTGGGCTATCTAGCAACTGTATTTCTTCTTCTTCTCTGGTTTTATTTTATCAATTCTAATGCAATATTACAACGCACACGCCATATCTTTTATCGTTCAGCTTTGAATGCATCGACGCTCTTTTTTATCACAGTGTTTATTCTTCTGTTGTATACTTCTTCTTTTTTTCACTCTCTATCGCTATCGCTTGCTGCAAAATGTTCAGCAATGGTTTCATTTTTTTTTTGTTCGGAGCGATATATTTATATATATCTGTATGGATTGGTGTGAATGTGTTCCAAATAATGTCACCGTCGCTGCAATATCACCTTTTGTTCTTCGTCTTCATCATCTAATGAAATGTCTCTTTGCACTCGGAACCCAAATACACAAAAACTTAAGAGTGTGTGTAGTCACATTAAAAGTCAATTTATTCTTCTTCTTCTTCTTGTCCAATTATATGCTATTCTTCAACATTCGCACCTTTTTTTGTCCCAATTCTTCTCTCTCTCTATGCGTTTCTCAGTTGGTCTCTCTCTCTCTCTCTCTCTACACACAAAACATTTGACCGAATATGTTGGTTGTAATATTTTCAGTTTTAATTACAGTGACATTTCGATATTGTCGATACAAAATCGACAGACAGCAACGAAAATAATGTTATTATTTTTAGATACCGTTTTGTTACGATTTGGTCGATGTGTGTTTCCAAAAAAAAAAATGACCAAAAATAAAAGAAGTAATGATTGTCGAATCCTCTGTGTTCGACTGTTTTTGTTTTTCTTTTCGTTCGTTTGATCGGTCGGACAGTCGGTCGCAGATGTAATGTTGTTGTTTGGTTCTCGTGTGAATTTCAGCTGCAATAGATTATTTTACACACCACACACTGATTGACCATTGACACTTGTGTGTGACTCACACTTTTTTCTGTGTGTCTGTTTCGATTTTGTCTGTCTCACCATGTAAATCGTATCGTGGAGACACTTCTTCTCGCTCACAGAAATGAACAGATGAAGATGAAAACGAAAAATTCTTCGTATGAATAAATAAAAAAGAAGCCAACACAAAAAATGAATATAAACAAACGCCTATTTTTTTTCTTGTGGTCGCGCACAACACACTAAATACTTTGACACAATGACAACGACGACGACAACAACGATGAAGATGGTCGAGAAATACCAAAGTACTCCGGCCTTGTCATTATTGTCTCTCTATCATCGATAAGATGATGTGTTGTTGTTCAATTTCCTAGATTCTCGACGGTTTTAATGCAATGAACCGCAAGCGACAGAGATTTCTGGAAAAGTGTGCATTTTTCTTTTGGCGATCGTCCGTTCAATCACTATAAGTTCACTACTGTTGGAAATTCACTTCTCGCTTCTTCTTTTTTTTCTTGCTCTCTTCACATTTTCCTACGTTCTTCACTCGCTTATATGTTTTGCTGTGTGTTCACTGTCGCCTCTCCTCCTTCTTCTTATTTTTTCGAAGTTTGTTTTTTCTGCTTTTGCTTCTGCCTAAAAAGGTACACCAATACATTGACATCACATTAAATTCAATCTGCAAACATCTATATATATCGTTATTGCATCTTTGAACGTGGAGTGCGTACATGTATGCGTGCGTTTTGTGTCATGTGAACGAAACTATGCACACACACACACACAGAGAGAGAGAGAGAGAGAGAGAGAGAAAAAGAGCGAACGAACGAGAGCGACAAAGAAGGGCACACACAACAACAACAACAACAAAACAACAATAATATTAGCTTCGAGTCCTTCATGGATAGAAAGTCGAATCGTCATACATTCAAACACACATCCACACATCCATATATCCACACCTACAGCTACAACTTAGACATACACATCGATGCCTCCATACAATAGCGAACGAGCAGCCATTTTTATGTCAATTCGTTTGTTTTCTCTTATATGTTTACATTTGTCAGATTGGCAATTCGCCTCAGTGAACACAGATTTTGGGGTTCGTTCGATGCCATCGGTTTCGCTGGTTCATTCGAATCGATTTTTTTCGTCTTCGAATTTGTGATTTTTCATTTAATTCTATCCAATGGAGCCATTGTTAGAAAATAAATCATACAAATGTACGAAGTTTTTTTTGTCAAAATTAAACTGTTTTTATTTTAATATGAAACATATTTTGTTTGAAGTCGCTGCATGTTCGAAATCGCATATCGATGCATGACCATGCGCGCACACCACATTCATACCAATTCGCCAATGTTTATGTTTCCATTGTGTGTTTGCGACAAGCCTCATTATTGTTTACAACGCCGCTCTCGCTAGACAGAACATCAAGTGCATTTCGTGCGATTCTCAATTTGGTTTGCTAGTTGGTTTATGTTAGTTTTATCTCTTTTCGCTTTGGAAAATCAGCGAATAAACCATCGAATTTAATTGATTGTTAAGCGTATTCGTATTTTGCTGACGGCAAAGATACCGGATCGAATCGCCAATTCAAAATATTTGTGATAAGATGGCCGGTACAATTCTTGAGAATTTAAGTGGACGAAAATTGGGGATTTTAGTCGGCACTTTGCTCGTATGCCAAGTGATTTGTTTTCTTATCGGAGGATTGATCGGTAAGTGAAGACGAACTGGTTTTTTTTGGTCATAATATCATTGATAAAAAGATTGGAAAATTAAGTGAACATTGAAATAAAATCATTTTTTAGCTCCAGTGCCTGCGAGCGTACAAACAATTCTTGGTACCGTGTGCAAGGATATACCCGGCTCATTCAATGACACCACCAAATGGGTATATTCAAGAGGGCTCGGAAAATGCGAAACCATCCATCAAAGCGATCTTGAACGACATGATATTCGGCTTGCCAATCAAATCGTATTCGTATTTCAGGTGATTAATTAACACAGAATTCAGGAGTTCAAAGAGCATACTTTAGAAAATGAGCTCAAAATATAACTTACATTTTCCTACTGAATACATATGCATATTTTTCCTAAAGTTATGAAAACAAAATAAATTTAAACATTGTCCAACCGATTATGAAATGCATGTTTCCGGTTCGTTCAATGAAGTCATTCTTTTTGTTTGATGACTCATACAATTTCATCAGAATTCTTAATTACCTCAAACGCTTTAAAAACATGAATTTAACATCAGAATTTTAATCACCTTCTTATTGTAATGAATGAAACCATTCAATTTTCGTTCCATAGATGCCTCTTCCACGTGAAGGAAAAGTGTTAGACTATTCGAGATGGCAGCAAAATCTCATCGGAATCCTCCAAACGGATATTGCCCAAAATGAAGAAGTGATGCTTGAGCATCCCCGTGCAATCGTTACTCTTGACGCCCGTTTGGCATATCGTAACAAAGGCGATGCCGATGGTGACTGGAAACACTGCTCATCGTCACTTGAACAACGCGAGTTGGACTGCAGTGGGGAAGATGTAAGTGTAGAGTTTTTTTTTTGAATTTTTGCTAATCAAATTTTGAAGCGATTTTTTTAATAAATCCAGAAATTACTTCAAAAGCGTCCAATGATCGAATATTGACTTATTTTGATGTTAGTCACAAAAAAAATCTAATTTTTCTCTGGATGCTTTAATTTTTCAGCAACTATCCGATGAGAACTCGTGTTCAACGCTGCCGCTATTCGAACTGGGATCATTACACCATGACTTCTATTTGTTGAACGTTCGATTGCCAGTGGACTCAGAGCGCAAAATGAATTTGAACATTGGAAATATTCGTGACTTGCATTTGACGGTGATTTACCAGAACGGTGGCTTTACCAAAGTCTGGCTATCGTTGAAGACGATATTCTTCCCATTTATTGTGGCCATCATGTGCTGGTTCTGGAATCGTGTCCATCAACTGCAACGCTCACCAGTTCTCATTGAGTACATGCTGTTGGGATTGGGAGGCGCATTGACATTCTTGAATCGTGAGTTAAAGTTTTATGTGTTTTTTAATGTTTACTTTTCTGAATTTGGCTTAGGAGGGGTCTACCTATGTCGAAAAATAACACAAAAATTTGAGAGAGAAAATAATTCTCTAATCGAATTTCAATTGCTTCTTCCATTCAGTTCCGCTTGAATACTTTACGCTATACTTCGACATGCCGTTTATGCCACTTCTGGCCGATATTCGGCAGGGAGTCTTCTATGCTCAGCTGTTGTCATTTTGGTTGATATTTGCCGGTGAGCACATGCTCATCCAGGATGGAGCATCAACATTGAAAACGTACTGGAAGCACTTGAGTGCTGTGGTTATTGGATGCATTTCATTGTTCGCGTTTGATGTGTGTGAGCGTGGAGCTCAGCTCAGGAATCCATTCTATTCCATTTGGATGACCAAAATCGGAGCTAATATCGCTGTGAGTATTACAAGTAAAAATTCGGTCGATTTTTTTCCATCGAATTACATTTCGCTTATTTATGCCTTAAAAAGAACATTCAAACTAAAACTCTTTTCATTCCGCCTCCTCCTAACAGTTCACGTTCATTTTGCTTGCTGGAATTTCGGCTTCGGTCTACTTTTTCTTCTTGTGCTACATGATTTGGTGTGTGTTCTGTAACATCAGTATTAAACGATCATCTTTGCCATCGATGTCGATGGCGCGTCGGCTTCACTATGAGGGCATTATTTATCGTTTCAAATTTCTCATGCTTGCCACATTGATTTGCGCCGCATTAACCATTGCCGGTTTCATCATTGGCCAAATGTCCGAGAGCCAATACCGTTTGGATGATTCCATTCATCTTGAATTTACATCGGCATTCTTCACCGGCGTCTATGGCATGTGGAACATTTACATATTCGCACTGATCATTTTGTATGCACCAAGTCACAAACAATGGCCATCGACCGGTGGAAACGGAACAACAAGCAACAATGACAGCGCAACCGGTAAATATTGGAATCATTGCTTTTTTCAAGGTTTAATTCAATTTCAATCGGTTTTTAACAACATCTTTTCATTTGTTTGCTTTCAGAAAATATTGTCGGCGAAGAGATTGAATTCAATAGCTTGCCATCGGACACAAATCCAAGCGAAATATCATCGCTAACATCATTTGCACGCAAAGCAGCTTTGGATTAGATACAATTTTGGTTTACCCTTCACCACTTCTTAATTTGTAACACAAAACATTAAATTAAATTCATTATGTTTTTTTTATGTTAAAAGTCCAAATAAGCAACAAGAACAAAATTGTTACGATCAACCGATTAGCATGATAACATTACTTTAGATTAGTTTAGTCACTGTTTTAACTACCAAACTTTAAACGATTCTCAAAAGATGTGCAGTTTTTTTTTAATCATGTTTATGGTATGAAGAGATTTTTGTTTGTAACCGAGTGCCAATGAATGATTTTCGTCACTTTTATCTATAGATTCAAGATTTGTATTGGAAGTATTTTTGTACCGTTTTTCGTGCACATCACAGCTTAATAGAGCTTTTACTATGTATTGAAACGGTTAGATTTCGAGCTAAGTAACGATGATGATCGACAGATTAGTGACAAATTTGAAAGTAAATAATGCAACTAATTGCCAAAATTGGTTCAATTTGAAATGTAACAATCGATTGGAATGTTGCATCACCAATAAAAAGAATATTATGGGCATTACAAACGTTTCTTAAGATTTCACCATAAATTCATCAAGTTTGGATATTTGTCTGACCAGTAAAGGTCACTCATTTACACTAAATTTTCTGCAAATGCCTATGCGCATTTCGATAAAATATCGCTCCAAACCTCCGCAGAAAAAAATTTGCGTCCCCGTTTTACAGAGGGAGTCTCCAGGCGGGTTTTAAGTTTGGCAACTCGGCTTTTCCGGCGGCTATAACTTCCAAACGGCTGGAAATTTCTAAGAAGTGTCTCTGTGAAATTTGTAGATCTCGTCAAAATTAAAAACTTTGCTCAACTATTCATCCCCAAAAAACCAATCATTCAAGCTATAGGGTGACTCGAAAATCTCCAATTTTCGGGGTGACATTCGACCCTGGTTTTTGGGGATGATTTGTTCAACAAATTTTCAATTTTGATGAAATCTACAACTTTTCCAAAGACACTTCTTAGAAAAACGGGGACGTAAACATTTTTCTGGGTAGCTTTGGAGCGATAGCCCATCGAATCTGCATAGGCATTTGCAAAAACTTTAGTGTAAACGAGGGACCTTTGCTGGTGAGGAACGATTTGTAGAAAAAATTCTTTTTAATTTGTCGAAACGATATGACATTTCCACTTCGGTGCTTCGTATCGACATTTTCGGAAAAATGACAAAAACGCCATAACTATACACGGAATTTTCAAGCAACATTGCTGCATATTTACCGGAAATAATGGAAACAATGAAATATGGAAGTAATTTTTGAAGAAAAAAAAACAAAAAAGCAATGTCTCCGCCTTTTATCCATTGCAACGCAAATTAAGAACCCAATATGGAACGATTTTCTGAACTAGATCAATCCAAATCGAGAGTAATAGGTGTTGCTTTTAGAACATTCGACCATTTATAACCTATCGTTACTAACTCTAATTCCCTTTAGAACATTTTATATATTCTTAATGACGAAACAATCCTGTAGAAGAAGAACCTAGCCTGGAATATGCGTCTGAATGCTTTGATATCAAAATTCAATAAAAAAAATAAGACAAAAAAATAAATCGAAATACTTTTTTACCGCGATCGTAGATTTTATTGCAATAATTTTTAAATTCTGTATGATTTATGATAAATAACAACAATAGCAACAAAAAATTTGTATGTTAGGCTATCCTTTCCAAACAGCAGCTTCAAACAAACAATTGCAAATTAATGTAACCGATGTGATGCAATTTCTGTGTTTTCATATGATTTCAAATATAGTGCAGCTAATCAAATAAAGAACTATGTTCAATATATGCTCAAAAAGTGTTGTTTTCGATGTTATATTCGTCCGTATTGATGCTGCAGATGTACATTTGGAAGAGAAATTTACTCGTCAATGACCAGTTGTCGTAGAGGTAATTTTCAAGTGTTATACTAGGCATTTGATGTTCACGTTATAAGCTGAAATTGGAGAACGAAATTCAACAAAAATTTCCAACCAATCAACCTCCTCATTTCATCTATACATACCCGGATCGCAGTAGGTTGCTATCAAAACTTCCATGAATTAGAACATTAAGAGAAAAACAAAGTCTTTGCGAAAATTTTATATGTTTATTTATTTTGAATGGAAATGAATAAACATGGCTACAGTGTAATTTTGATGTTTTTGTGAAATCCATGCACACGGAAAAAATATGCCTAAATTTAAACGTTTCCTCCACCGTAAATGCCATTTTCTTCCACAAATTCAGGCGTGATCAAGTGTACAGATTCAAATATTCTCCTTATTCCATAGATGAAAGATACAATTTCTAGTTCGAATCGACAATTTTCCTTTCCGTGTGCGTTATTAGTTTATATTATATTCTTAAATGAGATGGTGGTGCATAGACCAAATTATCACTCGCAAAACCTGGGTCTTGAGTGGAACAGAAAATGTGTGTACGTAATCTTGTGTGTAAAATGCATGGCTTTAAAATTAAATGATCGTTTAAAATTCTTTACACATTGAGACCATTGTCCAAGTACATTTTAACCATTAAAATCATGCATTTTTAATATCTTTGGCTTATTCTTTTGAGATCGCTAACGATTCAAAGCAGCTGCAATAGTTTAGCTGTTCGGTAATATTACCCGTCATTGCTCACAAAATGTTTGAAATGCTCCTACACTGAGCACATTTTGCTCCTCTGCACTTCATATTCGCTTTTGTGCGCCCGTAATGCGCGATTTCTATCGAACAATGGTTGAACGCCTTCAGAATGCTAATAACTTACAACTATGTTAAATGCCAAAAATGTGATTTTTCAAATGATTCGCTCAAATGACAATGTTGTAAATCTCTTCACGGAAATTTTTTTTCCTTTCGTTTTGAATACCATTCTTCTTTTGCCTTGATAATGCTTATGTCCAAATGAACCTATCATCTAAATACAGCATTTGTTAACCAAATTATTACATATCTAATGTTCTGTTTAAGTGGATATATGCAAAGAGAAAGTTTTAAGATTAATTGAGGAATTTCATCGAACACATCGATTTCATCGACGTTATTTTTTTCCTTCAAATCAAAACTCGCCAAAATGATTCGTAATTCATGTGCAAAAGATTGAAATGGCATTCTTAAGCAAATGATAAATTCTGAACCACATTGTCTTTCTCTCCAAAATCTTTTGTCTTTCATTCAGAGCTGTTGCTTAGGAAAGAAAATTACAGACATTAAATCCTAGTCAATATGGCCAATGATTTAATATTTAAATGAAAATCTCAATTCGAATGTGTAAAATAAAAATTAATCTCATTTCTAAACTGATTTTAAATTATTTTGAGATCAAAATACTAAACCGACTCCATTCGACGAACATCAATTTATGCAAGCTTTTCTCTGATTTCCTACCTGTTTATTTATAATATATATATAATTGTTTAATTTATGAAGATACTTTCTTCGTTAAGATTAAATCGATCGACGAACAAGGTCGGTTGGATTGCGAAAATTGTACATAAAATTTCGGAAGAAATAAAATTGTTTTAACAAATTTTTGAATTCCACAAAGTAGTTGTCAATATGTCATTAACCATATTAGTTTTTAACCGATCAACGGGAAAACTAAGGAAGGAATAAGAAGATTTTTTCATGTGCGGAATTCGAAAATCCAATATGTCATTTAAGACTGGTGCAAATGATGTTGTTGGGCTGCCGCCGCTGATGTAATGGCATCTTGATGCGAATGATTGTAGCCGGTTGTGAGATTCAGTGAGCCCGAAATCGATGTACGATCAAAGGCAAGTGAACTGTTTTGCAAAAAGCTGGTGTGTTGATTCAGCATGTGATGAAAGTGTTTGCTGATCGAGTGGTGTTGAGCGGGAGTGTGAAACCCCAGACTAGGCCTTGGATAAAATTGATTCATGCGATTGCTTAACAAAATATTAGCAGTTGATGCAGCAGTGAATGACGGTGATGTTGTTGCTGGGCTTGCAAGCGATGTTGGCGACTTCCGGTACTTTGAATCCATCGTTGGTGGTGGCGATGATGCTGAAATCATGCAAAAAGAACAAACATTCTAGGTTTTTCCGAAACAAATAAACAAATTAAGTCCCATTCGATGTGAATGACTCAGAGAAGAAGAAAAAGACATTTCGTTTTGAATTTATAATTACTTTTTGGAGATGAACGCCACTTCAAATCCGATTTTTCGTATGAACCACCTGCCGTCAGACTAAAGTTCAAATCATTCGATTCATGGGCATCGTCTATTTTGGATAAATCCAACGCGGTGCCCGCTTTAACGGACTTGGGCAGATCCTCTTCGGTGTGATCAAATGGATAAGACGGTTTTAACTGAAAAACAAACGATAATAAGGAGAACATTGAATATAGACAGCATAAACAATGACATAGCAATTAAAAACGGAATTTTTCAGATCAATTGCGATGGATGTCATTGAAATTTCATGCGGACTGAAACAAACAAAAATTGTGTGTTTGAGAAAATGTAATTCCACCTACTAAAACCTAATCATTAGTTCGGAAGAATTTATGCAAAAAAAAACACCGAGTTGAAAAAACAGCAAATTTCCGTCCAAATATATCAATTGTAATCGAAAATGTCGCTTGCAGCTAAAAAATATTAACAAACTGAATTTGCGTCGACAATCTATAAAAATTGGTCTGAAACCCAATTGAATGGCAAAAAAGAGATCAAGGGGTTGAATAAAGAGGAAAGAAAAGTTGGTCGTAAACAAAAAGTTCGATGGAAATGTTCGTTTGCTGTGATTTTATTTGTATTGTCACGCAATTGATTTGATGTTATTCGGCGTCACGTACAGGCAATAATGGGATGGTTCGTTGTTGTTCTCTTTTTTTTCTCTTCTTATTTAATGCGAACTATATATCACATGGATTCCCAAGAGGCGTAATCATCGTAGGGGAATGTGTTCAGAAGAATGTGTCGCTATATGTGAGTATTGTTCCAAACGAAACACAACAAAAACAAAACGAAAATAAAACGTGTATTGACTATTGTCTACGGAGTAAAGTGTCATTCTGATAGCTATTTTCAATGTTCATGTTGGTAATTTGGTACTGTTTTTTTTCTCTTGTCGTTCGTGCGATTAAATTAAGGTCAATGAGATGAAGAGAGAAGATCATGCGAATCAATTCATGCAATAAATAGATTGTTAACGAAATAAAAAAAATCTGGTCAATTCAGTTGTTTGCGATTTTCTAGGAAATACTTTGCTGATCGTTTCGCCTTAATACGGCTAATAAATCAATTTATTTGCGTGTTTGTAAATTTCACATTCATCAGCGAGAAAAACTACCTTGGCACAATGCTGCCCCCGCAAGCGAAAAAAATATGTGTAATGCTAACGCTCATTCATCGAACGAAAACGGAGAAAATTTCGCAAATTTATCGAGTTGAATAATGGCGGCAAATTGAGCGTCATTGAATTAAGTCAAAATAACGCTTTGCCTGCCAAAATATTCAATTTCAGGTGTACATTTCGATGGCCGCGGTTTTTCCAGAAACAACAGAGTAAATTGCGAGAAAGAGATTGGGTGGGCCATGCGAATAGCGCGGGGTGTGGTATGTGTGTGAAAACGATGCTTGTTTACCAAATACTTCGTTTACACATATTTGAATTCGATTCCAAAAATGAAACTAATGTTATCATTAGCCTCTTAGCGGTATGCAAAAAGCGGGCTGCTCGCACCCATCGCAGTCATCGTCGCATACCGACAAACATATTCAATTCAATTGCGAAACGGATGCATCCCGAATGAAAATCCACTCTCGGAATTGAAATAATTGTGTGGATTCACACCCATCGTTGGATTGATACAATATTGTTTGTGCCAATTGCGTTTTATTTGCCTTTTCCTTAACCCCCCTCGTATGTCTCGTACAGAAACACAACACACACACACACACACATCGTGCACGCTTTATGATGTTACAACCAGCGCCTTCACTGCGAAATTTCAATTTATAATCGCCTCTTTCAATATGCTTGGGGCATTTAGATTGCGATTCGGGTGTCTAGCAACTTTATCAGCATAGCTCGCTCTTTCACTCTGTGTCCTGTGTGCAGAATAAACTGAAACCAAATGAGAGAGAGAGAGAGAGAGAGAGAGACTCACACTGGATGTGAGTGAAGCAGAGACACACAGATAGAGAGCTGGAAGCACGCGTGCGACATTCCATTTAACATTTAAAGCATTTCTCATTCAAAATAAATGGCACACGTACGCTTGAACGACATCGAATGGAAAATGGCGTTTGGATAAATGGCAAATAACACCCAATAATAATACGAAAATAATTGTAATAATAACACCCGAATTGATTTTACGCCGAATTGCTAATGTATTTACACACACAGACAAACACACACACAAAATTTACCAAAGCTCCGCTCTCGACTCGGAACAAACGACACCGAACAGCAGAGTAGATTACTGGAAGTGATAAAGCGACACATTACTAAAATACATTGGAGTTGCACAGTTCAAGTGCAAATCGAAAATTCCGGCAAACGAATGCGTTGTTTTTGGAGACGGGGAGGGCCACACCAGATTAACCAAACAAACTAATCTGCATTTTGTAAACGAATCGATTTAATTACACAGTTTGCGGTCGCAAAAATACCGATTGCATTGCAACAGTGCATGTGAGTCGGATCTTTCTCTCTCTCTCTCTCTCTCTCTCGCATTTTTCAATTGTTTTAATTAAATTTTTGTTTACACTGATTGCGAATGCAGTGAAAATTAGTAACATGTACTTAAAAACGGATCCATCCGACGGGTCGAATTCAGTCGAAGTGGTGGCGTGTATTTTTTTCGTTTCTTCACATTGGAAAATGGGATCCCGTTCATTTTCACTCTCTCTCTCTCTCTCTCTCTCTTGTTGTTTCGGACACGAAAAGCCGCTTAAAATTCGAACGAACCGAATTCAAAAATAGCCAAGTGAACGACCGTGAAACGAACACACACAGACAGACAGAGACAGAGAGAGAGAGAGAGAGAGAGAGAGAGAGAGAGAGAGAGAGAGAGAG